AGTGTTCTGGTGTGAATCAGGAGAGAAATCTGCACAGATCAAGCAGCGTTTAAACAGCTCTAAACAAATATGTGGCTGGATTCTGATGCGAGAGACAACAGCAGATGCACTTTTTCACCGGAGGAAGAGTTATTATGGATTATGGACTCTGTATTTGAGTTAAAAGCATCTTAATGCTGGATGTGTTTCAGCTTTTGTCTTCTCCAGATGTTAACTGATGGACTGGAGTGCTGTGGATTATTGTGATGTTTTTATCAGCTGTTTGGACTCTCATTCTGACGGCACCCATTCACTGCAGAACATCCATTGCTGAGACACTGATGCAATGCTACATTTCTGCAAACCTGATGAACAAACAAACTCATCCTGATCTCAGACAGCCTGAGGATGAGCACATTTTCAGCTAATTGTCATTTTTTGTTCAAAATATTCCATTAACTGATTCTTATGTTTTTGAATTCTGCAGTAATTCTTCATTGAATTTTTCAGTCATCACTTGTGCATACGGTTCCAGGTTAAAGTTTGTAATTAGGGGCACACTGTAATTTTGGTGTAGCATAGTTCATCACAGCCCTATGATAGTGATATTCAGAATTTATGACACATACAGTATTGCATATAATGACACTGAATATTTCAGTGATTTAATGATTGCTGAACTAGAAATGCCTCCAAGTTTTCAGAAATCTGATTGCTTTATCACACACATCAACAATTTAAAAGCACACACTCATGCTCAGAATGATCTGCACATCTCTGAACTTCACACAAGCTCAGTGAAACTCTGGAATATACGCTGGATCCAGGGTTTGAAATTAACACCCGCCAACCCGCCAAATGCGAGTAAAAATCAGCTGTGGCGGGTAACGCTGTCAAATCACTAGCCAATTTGGCGGGTTACTTTTTGTAAATGATGTTCACTCATTCATTTCTTGGGGAAGTTCATGCAGGCCAAATCTGTGCAGGTTTAGTGCAAATACTGAACTCGTGAGACATCATGACATTATCGAGTATATTGCAAAAGCTAAACAAAACACACCTACAGAGGCGTGCATACGTGACGTGATGAAGTCTGGTTAGAGTAGACCAACACAGGCTTTAGTGCGCGTGCGCTTTTGGAGTGCGATCTTTCACTGCATGATTCAGTTTATTATATTAATATGCATTTAGAATGATCACATAATTCAAGATAAGGAGGCAGAAAATGTATATATTTATATCAATTCATATAGTTAATCAATATCACACGAAGAGTTTTTTCTTTTAAAAAATCAGCATGGTTACAAATGTGATATTTATTTTATACAACAGTTCAATAAACAATAAGTTAATATCTAGAGACTTATGTTTTAGACACCATATTGGCTGTTTTTGCTCTATTTCTGTGGTATTTCACCAACAAAAAACATTCCAAACACAGCCACAGTACTGTTCTGCGTCTCTGAGCAACATGACGGTGTTTCGTTCCTGAATGAATCACCCGTTTAAATGATTCGGATCAATCGCAATGACTCACTTAACAGTGACTTGCTGCCACCTACTGGCATACTGATTAAATGTAAGAATTTGACTCAAAAGATGATGTACACTTTTAGAAAAAAAAGGCTTTATGAAGGTAAGAATGCCCATAAAAGTTAAAATCAATTTCTATCACTGCTGTGAACTGACCCGCACACAGAATATGAAGAATATCAAAAACTTTAGGAGTCAGCTGTCCACGGTAGTCCTTGAGATATCAGCACAATAACACACTCAGCTAAATATTGTCTAATTATCTTTATCGATAAAATCACAGAGAATATTGAGATATTATTTTTTGTCAATATCACACACCCCGAGTACTGACAAAATGATTTGCAACGGTCGCTTTGTCATGCCCAGTGTAGACGGCATCAAACTGTTGGTGTATTTCTGTCTTTTTTTTGTTTTGTTTTTGGCTTGTAGAAGTTATGAATGGCCGGTAACTTAAAAGTGTAGTAGCCAAATTGGCTGGTGAGTGAAAAAGTTAATTTCAGTGCCTGGCTGGATCCACATGACTGATGATGAGCTGTGTGAATGCTGACTCTCTCGCTGTCACAGTCAGATCATGAATGCAGCAGCGCCATCTGCTGAGCTCTACACTGTCATACCCATGTTATTATACAAATTTGTGTCCTCATAAACCACCTCCAAATACTGCAAAATTACAATTAATTTCAGAGAAAAGTAACCTGGACATGATTATATGAAATTTGCTGAATTACTGGTAGAAATATGGTATACACCTTATTTTAAGGTGTCCTTGTTACAGTGTAATTATACCTTTAATTAGTGAGTAATGTTACAGTTTTTTATAAATAATCTTTCCATTGATGTATGGTTTGTTAGGATAGGACAATATTTTTTTTGTTGTTGATATATTTACGGTAGGAAAATTACTAAATATCTTCATGGAACATGATCTTTACTTAATATCCTAATGATTTTTGGCATAAAAGAGAAATGTATAATTGTGACCCATACAATGTATTGTTGGCTATTGCTACAAATATCCCCCAGCGACTCAACACTGCTTTTGTGCTGCAGGGACACATATCTGCTCCACTAGCAGCGCCCGAGCTGTAAATATAATGACTTTTCCTAAACACAGCCTATCAGACATGACATACTAGAAAGTATTCGAGCATCCATAAAAAAATGCCACACTTCACATTGAAGCAGACTGAAGCAGAGCAGAGCTGATGGATCCTGATCTAAGCATGCAGAGACTGGAGTGGACTCACGTTGGTGGAGTTGGTCCGGATCAGGCCGTGGTTGTGGTTCTGCTGTTCTCTGAACTGCAGGCCCGCCAAGTGTCTCTCCAGAGCCGCCCAGTCCATGGCTGGAAGCTGGCTTTCCTCCACACATTCTCCTCTGTTCTCGCCGCTCCCGAGGCCAGGTGTGCTGGACGTCTCTCTCTCGCCGGGCTGCTGGGGTCCGGAGGAGGCTCTGCCGCTCTGCAGCTCGCGCCCCGAGCCGGAGTCCTGCTGCTGGTTGTCTGCGTACTCCCTCTCCCAGTCCAGCAGCGCTCTCCTCTTGTACTGCTGGTAGTCCTCGTCCTCCTCGTAGTCCTCCAGACTGGGAGAGGACTTGTACTCAGAACAGGGCGTCACCTTGTTGGAGTTGGACTCGGAGCTGGAGCGACTGGAGGAATCGCTGCACAGATCCATGCCATCCTCCCGGTAATCCTGAGACACAGACACAACGCTTTAGAGACATACTGCGGAAAACATACAGACAGACACACACACACACACACACACACACACAGTCTGGTCAGCTATACTTGTGGGGACTCTCCATAGGCATAATGGTTTTTATACTGTACAAAGCATATATTCTATTGCCCTACACCAACCCTACCCCTAAACCTACCCCTCACAGGAGACTTTGTGCATTTTTAGATTTTCAAAAAAACTCATTCTGAATAATTTATAAGCTTTTGAATTACGGGGACACTGAAAATGTCCTCATAAATCACCTTCTCGTTGTAATACCTGTCATACCCATGTTATTATACAAATTTGTGTCCTCATAAACCACCTCCAAATACTGCAAAATTACAATTAATTTCAGAGAAAAGTAACCTGGACATGATTATATGAAATTTGCTGAATTACTGGTAGAAATATGGTATACACCTTATTTTAAGGTGTCCTTGTTACAGTGTAATTATACCTTTAATTAGTGAGTAATGTTACAGTTTTTTATAAATAATCTTTCCATTGATGTATGGTTTGTTAGGATAGGACAATATTTTTTTTGTTGTTGATATATTTACGGTAGGAAAATTACTAAATATCTTCATGGAACATGATCTTTACTTAACATCCTAATGATTTTTGGCATAAAAGAGAAATGTATAATTGTGACCCATACAATGTATTGTTGGCTATTGCTACAAATATCCCCCAGCGACTCAACACTGCTTTTGTGCTGCAGGGACACATATCTGCTCCACTAGCAGCGCCCGAGCTGTAAATATAATGACTTTTCCTAAACACAGCCTATCAGACATGACATACTAGAAAGTATTCGAGCATCCATAAAAAAATGCCACACTTCACATTGAAGCAGACTGAAGCAGAGCAGAGCTGATGGATCCTGATCTAAGCATGCAGAGACTGGAGTGGACTCACGTTGGTGGAGTTGGTCCGGATCAGGCCGTGGTTGTGGTTCTGCTGTTCTCTGAACTGCAGGCCCGCCAAGTGTCTCTCCAGAGCCGCCCAGTCCATGGCTGGAAGCTGGCTTTCCTCCACACATTCTCCTCTGTTCTCGCCGCTCCCGAGGCCAGGTGTGCTGGACGTCTCTCTCTCGCCGGGCTGCTGGGGTCCGGAGGAGGCTCTGCCGCTCTGCAGCTCGCGCCCCGAGCCGGAGTCCTGCTGCTGGTTGTCTGCGTACACCCTCTCCCAGTCCAGCAGCGCTCTCCTCTTGTACTGCTGGTAGTCCTCGTCCTCCTCGTAGTCCTCCAGACTGGGAGAGGACTTGTACTCAGAACAGGGCGTCACCTTGTTGGAGTTGGACTCGGAGCTGGAGCGACTGGAGGAATCGCTGCACAGATCCATGCCATCCTCCCGGTAATCCTGAGACACAGACACAACGCTTTAGAGACATACTGCGGAAAACATACAGCTACTGCCATTTTTACCGTTTTTTTTCAACTGCTTACACACAAAATCTTTACTTGTCACAATTTCTGAAAGCTGACACTCAAACAGCAGAAGCACACACCAAATCTGCACAACCATACACTAATTCTCAGCCTTTGACTCGGTTTTCAGTTTCATGAAACACTTTTTGCAAAACACAGCACAAAGTTCTCTATGTGGCACATGAAAAAATAACAGGAATTAATATTACGGCAAAGGTGTTTGCAAATGTTTGCTTTTGAGATGTGTTTGTGATATTTTGAATGCAGTGCTTCATTTTGCAAGAGATGTGAGGCATTTTGCATCTTGTGATTCTTGGATTTGTGTGCAAAGTTTTGAAAAAAAGAGGCAAGGTTTTGAAAATGTGTGCAAGCTGTTGAAAAAAACTGTAATCCTTAAACTGTGCTGAAACTCCGTTATGCTCCTGATCAATAATGACCAGCCGTTAAAAACAGCTTGTGAATCTCTCGTTGTGCTGTATTATCAGCAGTGCTGGGGAAAGTTACTTTTAAAAGTACTGCATTATAATATTGAGTTACGCCCTAAAAAAGTAACTAATTGCATTACTTAATTACTTTTTATGGAAAGTAATGTGTTATGTTACTTTTGCGTTACGTTTTCTCATCTGAGCTGGGCTCGGTTAAGTTTTTGATATAAAAAAGTAATATTTTTGGCAAATGTAAAAATCCTTTCACACCAAAAGTGAAATGAATAAGCCTCAGACTGAAGGAAATGTAAATTTAATTATTAACATATTTAATTATTGCAGGTTTGCAGAGTTTGTATTGACAGTTTGTATTGATTGTGAGGAGCACTGAATGTGTTTGTGTGCAGTGAGATGAGTAAACACATGTTGATATTGAGTCTAGAGCTACAGTAAGATCATGTTCACACACAACACTCTGCTCTTACTCCTGATTTCTGTCACCGTGGCAACACCAGAGCTGTCACTCAACACACGGAAACTAAGTAACTCAGATATCTCCTTCTAAATTAAAAAGTAATGCGTTACTTTACTAGTTACTTGAAAAAGTAATCTGATTACGTAACTCAAGTAACTTGTAATGTGTTCCCCCCAACACTGATTATCAGCAAATCTTAGCAAAACTTGCTTGCTTTCAATTATCACAGGTTTTGTTTTTCTTTTTGGAACGGATTGCTCATTGATTTCATTGATCTAAGCTCATGCACCTCAGTTTTTAATTGAAACAGGCATTATTTTTGATCATTCTGGCACTTGTTGAACATATTTTAGGAAGTTGTTATACCCTGTGAGGAAAGTCAGTTTTAGTCCAATGTGATAACACTAACTAGCATTTTCAGGAAAAAGAAACTCCTCTCCAGGTCAGAATGAACAGAACACAACTTGAGGGTTAAATTATGATGAAGAACGATCTAATGCTATGGGGCAGTAATGCATCGGTTATAGCCTATTCCATTTATTATAGAAACCAATTACTGCTTTGATCACCATATTCACTAGTCCACGACACGTGTGTCTACTCAGCAGAATGAGCAGTGAGTTCGTCAGTGTTTTGTGTTCTACATTGTTTTCTTTTCTAAACATTTGGGTGTTAGGCTGTACATCACAGATACCATCAACTTTGGTGAGATCATCCCAAACTCCACCACTTACATACACACACACACACACACACCCTCTCACGC